TTCCTGTGAGGAGCTGAAAGCAACTTGATATCCTAATGTTTTCCCTAAAATGAGAAAACCATTTCTGACACAACTCTAAACCACCTCAGGAGCCAGGGTAACTTCACTCGTGACCTTTCTTTCCTTTTTGTGGGTGGAGGAGGCAGAGGATGCAGGAGGTGCTCAGTGAGCGTTGCTGCTTTCTTTCACAGCACAGCCTGGCAGGCTGCAGCAGCGAGGCATGTGCTGCTGCTCTTATTTTTCAAGGAAGAGTCATGTTTGAAGAATGGGTTTTTTACAACTTGTTCCCTTGTGCCAAAGCGAGGGATTTTCTTCACTTTGTGTAAGCTTGTTGTAAGAGGCACTGTAATGATCTTCTCGGCTTGGAGATCTAGTGTAGAGCTGTGACTTCAGCCCTTCCAAAATGCCAGAATAAGTAAATTGTTGCAGGTATAAGCATCTTTGGGCTCACAGCATGTATAACTAACCAGACTAAGAAAAGTAAGGGAGCTGAAGGAGGAGGGAGGAAATTCATGTTTCAGGTAATGACCTGAAAGATCGTTCAAGGAGGGAATGCATCCATGCAAGTACGAAATTTTTGTGTTAAATTGTCACACATACAAGAACAACAGTCTAACAGGAGCATGGGGATTTCCTTTGCCTGGCTATTAATACATTTTTACCCTATGGTTGCTAGAGCCTTTAGCTAGCAGAGCTGAAGCGTCTCCATGTGAAACAGATGCTTCCTTACAGATTTGTTAAATTCTGAATTATGTCAAAGATTATTCAGTTGGAACCTGAGCTAAGGCCTATGGACAAGGTTGATGTTATGGTTTCTGGCAATTCTAGATGGGACTGAAATGCAGTTGGACGTAAAAGAAAGACACAGACCAGCAGTGTTCAGCTGGTGTGTTTTTATAAAGTAAACATGTTTGAATTTATCTTGAAAAGCATCCTGGTGCCAGCAGTCATCCAAAAGATCACTTTCCTTGCTCTCAGTAATATTTACAAGAAGAAGGAATTTTTTTCCTACTGGCTTTTT